AGCAACTGCAAAATGCTCTACCAACTTGAATTACCACCACAAGGTTCCTACTATCAGCAAAATGAAAATGTCATTGAAGATGTTTATATCGACCTTTTATTATGAGGTCACCGGCAGTAGAAGCCAATTTCTAGCCTTTTGAAGCTGAGGTGCCTTTGATGGTCAAGTAGGCACAGCGTCACTCGTAGGCAAACACAAAAGTGCCTATTTTGCCCTCAGTGTCCAGATTTTTTCTCAAGCATTTTTTTGATCTTGAATTGATTAGTTTGGAGTAATTCTCCCACCTTATTTGACCATGAAAACAAGGTAACAGTCAAACAAAGGCGTCATTTCGTCAGGCACACAGAGTTTTTCGCATCGTAGGAGATTCTAGATGTGATTAGAATACCAATACCATAGAAAGGAAAGCTCATATTAATAATAAAAATGAAGATTGCGTGGAATTGCGCCTTTTATAACATTCCTCCTAAGGTTTGAGAATGCCAGGCGATGTCACTGAAATTTCACCCAGCATTCAGTAGTAACAACTTTCCCTTGTTTCTAAACGTGTCTGGAGTACTCTAGTCAAAGGCATTTTGTGCATTTCGAGATTTTACAGAGCTACAAAATAGATTTTGCCCTGTTGTTACCGGCGCTTTGCATGCAAAAAACGCCTCGTCCCATGCGCGCGACAAGGAAAAAATCGCTCGTCGTCAACGTGTTAAGAAAAGAAGGTTGAAAATACTAAAAAGAAAAGTTGAAATAAAAATATTTCTTCGTGCACGGTTATGTGTACTTCTGCGACCCATTTCTTACGGTAAGTTAAATAAAATGAATATTAGTAAAAGAAAATCTCGGTATGTATGAATAAAGACAAGATTTGCGCTTACTTGTCCTCCAGAGCAAACGATGCCAGCCGTGCCATCAAATCGAAATTACAAATAACCGGTGCCATTTCCTATGAATCAAAAATAAGCAAGACTCTAAAATTAACAAACGGATCATGAAAAAAAAAACGAAAACGAACCCTTGTTTGGGACCAACCCATTGGTGGAGAGCACTATGGTGAGATAAGAAATTGTTTTTCAAGAGGGGGCGGTGACAGTAACTGTGAGGATCGTCGAAGAATGACTCGCTGAAAATAAGCCGTTGATTGAAGTGAAAATGCCGTCATTGGAAAACCTCTTCCTTTACGAGCATTTCAAAACTTCATTCCTCGGTCAACAAAGGCATATACGAAGGCTTTATTTGAAAGAGATCAGAAAATAAGAGTTCCTAGAAAGCAGACAGCATAGTCAATAAACTGATCGGCAGCGAATACTGCATGGAGTGCCCGTTTTCATGAACTATCATGTCAACAACGACGAAAAATGGAGGTCGAAAGTTGTCTTATCAATTTACTCCAGCAAACCTAAGCCGGCATGAAAAATAAACAAAGTGAAAAATATTGCAAAAAAAATCGAAGTACCTGCGCAAGAAATGCCTTCATTTCATGTCCATGGAAAGAGAAGCCTTGTACGATAAGTTTCGCAGCTGTCGCACTTTCGGGAGTGCTAAAAAAGTGATGAATGGAACGACTACAAACAATTTGAGATATGTAACAACAGACTTGCCTAAAAATAACTCGAACGCGTCGGAAGCTTTTCAAGAAATCGAAATGAATGTTCTCCTCGATCTGCGTGAACAACTGACAAAAGTTCTCTTTGTGCTCGGGATTTGTGAATACCTAAACCAGAAGGAAAGTTATACATTGAAGACCAAGTAAGTGGACTCCTATGTAGTGGCCAACCTGAAAGTTTGTTAAATTGAACGAATTTCAGACCGCTTTAGTTCAATCATAGCTAGTTCAAAAACTTAACAGACTGTTTAACCTTTTGTGGAGTCGAGCATGAATTTTGCGACCGGCTTAAAGGATAAAGGATAAAGCATTTGCCGTTGATCAATCCCTTTTTGGGATGCGGCACGCATTCTACTTCCATTTGTACATTCGCAGTGGCGTTTGAATGCGATGTGGCCTATACAATGACTTGCGGGGGCCAGCCGATGTACAAGTCAGTGTTTTTATCCTCCCAGACAAGTCTGGTACCAATTAACCGACCCCGGAGGGATGGAAGGCTTGGTTGGCCCGGGCGACTCACGACGGCTGGTGTCAGAGTCCGCGATTTTTTGCGCGATTTTCGCGATTGTCGCGATTTTCGCGATTTTCGCGATTTGTCGCGATTTTCGCGCGATTTGCGCGATTTTCGCGATTTGCGCGATTTCGCGATTTGCGCGATTTGCGATTCGCGATTCGCGATTTTCGCGATTTTCGCGATTTTCGCGATTTGCGCGATTTTCGCGATTTTCGCGAAACCTGCGATGGATCACAGGAGTTGGAAGTGCCCGATGAATACTGCGAGGTGTTGTTTAATCCTGCTGCGAATTCTGCTTGGCAGTAAAGATTGGAAGACGAATGTTTGTGGTTCTACTTGTTTCATGTTCAATGTCTATTAGTTCATTGAAATGCTCTTGAATCGTTCCTATTTTTTTCAGGAATCAAACCAAACCAATCACAAAAATTGCAAGTGCCCCATTTGAACAATTGAAACACTGGATATGAAACAAGTGGAATCATGAGCAGTCTCCATTAACCCTTTGACGACAATGCGGATTTGCACGTAGCGTGCTCGTGGGACCACGCCTCTTTTTGGCGCGCCCAACTCTCGCACAAAATGGGGCAAAATTGTCCCTAAAAGCAGTTTTTCTATCAAAATTTTGACTATGACAATAAACAAAATATGACTGCAGTCTTAAGCTTTATGATCATGTATTGTTGGAATTAGAAGTGGAAGTTTGGAAAGAAATCTCGGATTTCAAAGGGATGGTGTTTGAAAACTCTAGAAGTTCAAATGTACAGTAGAATTTTTGATATAGTTCAAACTCCTCCTTGTGTCTTAAGACTGTGAAAAGACGTAGAGGTCCTGATCTGTAATTCACCTTAAGCTTAATAATGTAAAACACTAGTTAATACATCGCCGAGCGAAGTGCCATATCCTAAAATTTCATATAAATTAGCTAGTAACAAACATTTCTGCAAAATATGCTAAACATAGGCGTAACGGAGCTTGCTTATAATTACTGATATGTTGAAAATGTTTTAAATGGGTAAAGAAGAAAGTTTTAGGGTGGCACCCACCATTGGGTGCCATTGTCCCACGCGACGGTCATTGTGATGGATGGGGCACTTGTGATTTCCGTGACCCGTCGCGCAAATCGCGAAAATCGCGCAAATCGCGAAAATCGCGACAAATCGCGAAAATCGCGAAATCGCGCAAATCGCGACAAATCGCGAAAATCGCGAAATCGCGAAATCGCGACAAATCGCGCAAATCGCGAAAATCGCGACAATCGCGCAAATCGCGAAAATCGCGAAATCGCAAAAAAAAATCGCGGACTCTGACACCAGCCTAACATCGTTTCAATTGTAGGGTAGATGTTCCAGGACCTACGAATGTGAGAACGTTTTTTGTTCAAAATGCAGCGCTTAAGATATTGGCGATTCGCAACGAAAAGCGGCAGCAAAAGCCAGAAAGGGCATTGACCTAGGGTAGTTTGATCACAACTCAACTCAACTTAACACACTTAACTTAAGTCTGGTGTATCCAGAGAGGGCAACAATCAGGCTGAAAATCGTGGCCGAAAAAGACCCCCCCCTTTTTTTTTGTTTGGGGGGGGGGGGGGGGGGGGGGGGGGGGGGGGGGGGGGGGGGGGGGGGGGGGGGGGGGGGGGGGGGGGGGGGGGGGGGGGGGGGGGGGGGGGGGGGGGGGGGGGGGGGGGGGGGGGGGGGGGGGGGGGGGGGGGGGGGGGGGCTTCGTGACTGAATAAGAATTGCATCCCTCTTACAGCCATTGCGAGCTATTCCTTGACAACGTCTCAAGTCTCTAGAAACATCTTGCCCACGTGAGGCGATCCGAAAATGGCATCGGTGACCGATTTGTCGTCTCGGCATAGGCCACTTCTCCGATCTCGTCGGTCATAATTGCAATCTAATTAATCAGGTGTCCATGTGAATGATAGACTAGCTGACGGAAACTATTGTAGTCAACAAATTTCGTAACTACTACTACAACCTAAGCAACAGCTCTGCTTGCACAGGGCATTTACATATCTTCCATCGTTTAATTTACTGTTTTTAAACGCGGCCTTCTCATAAAATTAGAGGAATGGAGCGACTGAAGCAACAAATAATATCATGCTTCCCCTCACCTATCGGTACTGCTGCGTGACCCCTACACATCACGAACACCGCCCTGTAGGATTTCCGGTCGGACCCCAGATTTTTGTTCCTGGTCACAATAGGAAGGAAGCGTGTGCTCCGCGGCTCATCATTTCCTTCTGCGCCTTTTCCTGTCCATTTTCAATTTCTGTGGCACCTGGTACCATAGGTACGTCATGTTTTCTCTATGGCACACCTATATCAAAGCACGTTTTTTCAGGTAGCTCAAACAGTTCTCAGTCAGTGAAACAATGACATCAAGGTACGATAAATAAAGGATAAAGCATTTGCCGTTGATCAATCCCTTTGGGATGCGGCACGCATTCTACTTCCATTTGTACATTCGTAGTGGCGTTTGAATGCGATGTGGCCTATACAATGACTTGCGGGGGCCAGCCGATGTACAAGTCAGTGTTTTTATCCTCCCAGACAAGTCTGGTACCAATTAACCGACCCCGGAGGGATGGAAGGCTTGGTTGGCCCGGGCGACTCACGACCCAGGATTTGATCCCCGGACCGCTCGCGTGGTAAGCGCGCCACTTGTCCACTACACCACTTCCGCCCCCTCGAATTGAACCCAGTAAATATTCTGAATCGCTACATCAAGCGGCAGCTAAACGTAACAAAAGAGCTCATATGGGTAACAGTCAAGCGCTTCAATAAGTTCAGGAGCACCACAGATAGGAAAGGCGCAGACTCAGTTGCCATCACGAACAATCAAAAAATTCAGAAAATCGCTGTCCTCTTTGCGACTTTCGTGCCCCGGAAATGAGAGAAAAATTGATGTAAAAACCCAAATGGACACCCTGAAGAGTTCGAGTCTGTCGTTGACATAAAACCGCTCTATTACTCTCCCCAGACTTTCGACAGGACAGAGAACTTAGCCAAAAATTGCGCAAAAAAGGATATTTCGAGTTTATAGCTTTCGAGGAATTGTTCCCCTAGGAGCCACTTACCTAATTCGTCTAGCCTCTCATATGGTCAACCCTGGAAGAGCCAGTGAAAACCCCACAGAAGTTCGATATCCTGGAAAAAAACAAAGTAGAAAGCCTGGGACTATTTTAGCACGCCTTAGTTGCGTGCCACCGCACACGCCATCCCCCTTGATCTGAAGGCTTGGGTAAAGAAGGTAGGAGCTCTCAACCCTGATCTGGTTTCGTTTTGTAATATGAATGACAGACGCTTTTCCGAAGTTTGCTTGTTCCATCAGGCTACTATGCGTTTTTGAAC